AAAAAAAACAAAACAACACAAAACAAAACTAGGCAACCAACTGGATATGGGGCAAAAAGAAAGGCTTAAATCCATTGCTCAAAATCTATAACATCTAAATTATCTGCCTGGGATATACAGTACCTCATCAACTTGTAGCAGAATAGTTGAGATACTACTGTTAAAAAAAACAAAACAAAACAAAACAAAACTAGGCAACCAACTGGATATGGGGCAAAAAGAAAGGCTTAAATCCATTGCTCAAAATCTATAACATCTAAATTATCTGCCTGGGATATACAGTACCTCATCAACTTGTAGCAGAATAGTTGAGAAATAATACTGTTCAGAAAGAGCCTATGGAGAATTAAATCTCATTTAGTATCATTCAACTCTTAAGAAATGTTTACTGAGCATCTACTCAGTGCCAGGCCCAGAAGGTAGAGCAGTGAACAGAACACAAGAATTCCTTCCCGTATTTATATGCTAGTGAGGAAAGATAACCAACAAACAAGATCAGTAATTCTACATCATATAAGAAAGTGGTAAATCCCCTGGAAAGAATAAGAATAAGGTAAAGAAGAGTGAGAGGCAGGGTTGAAAAAAGACAAGGATGACGTAACAGGAGGCCATTAGACAGAATTCTAACATCAGCCACAGTGACCCTGCACTCTTACACATTACCCTGAGATTTGTGGTGGGTATCTATAACTGTCTTCTAGCCAACAGATTGGCAAAGACAACAGGGTTTTACTCCCATGATTGTGTTCTGTAGTATGGCAAAAATGAAGGGATTTTTCACATGTCAGTAAGGTACCTAATCGGTTGACTTCAAGGTAGCCAGAGCATGACTGAGGGCTTTTTCTCTCCTGCTGGCCTTCAGGAATTAAGTGGCCATGAGTTGTACAGCTTTGAAGAAATGAATTCTGCAACAAGGGAACCGCAAGCCCCAGATGAGCCTAGTGTATCTGACATCTTTCCTGCTGCCCGGAGCAGAGGGCCCAACTGTGCTATGCATGACCAAGCTCCTCACCTGTAGAAACTGTGAGATAATAAATGTTTTGTATTGTTTTAAGCTGCTACAATAAATCGGCAGTCATTTGTTTCAAACAATGGAAAATTAATACAGTGGTGAATAAACTTTTAAGTCAAAAGGAAAAGAAAATGGCAGCCCTGGAGCAGGAGTCTATAAAATGGAGCTGTGCAGTAAACAAAATCAGGAAGGAAAGCCACAGGGTTCCTGGGGCATATCGTGTACACACACCTTTGTTGGCCTCAGTCACACAGGGCCACAGGAGCCTTCTGATACTGTATCTCAGTGGATCACTTTGACTGAGATATTGAGGTAGAAGCAAGAAGGAAGACGAGTCAGGAGACAATAATTCGAGGAAGAGATGATAGAGGCTAGGACTAGTGGAAAAGGAGTGAAGGAAGAGAGAAGTAGCCAGGCACTGCACACAGAATGAGTTAACAGGATCCATTTCATCAGGACTGAAAGTTGATGTACTCCTACACCTGGAAAGGACAGTCTCTCAGCAAAATGCTTTCCCATTACTGTAATGCACATGGTCCCACTATTCCTCCCTTCCTTTTCTGATGTTTATATTATCCTATTCTTTTACTTAGATAGCATCTTATTCTTAGCCCTGCTGCCAGCTAATAGAACGCAGCAACTTCTCTTACAAACCATGACCTAACAGCTGTCCAGCCCACAAAGTGGAGGGCAACCTTACTAGCACCCACATTGTCTTTTGACTCCATTTCCCACCACAGAAGCTGCGTAACAGACCACTCCACCTAGGCTTGTTACTCACGTGGCCCAGGAGATACCTGACAGCATTCCTACAAATGTGGCCAGATGAAGCTTTGAATAGAGAACATTTTTCTGCTTCCTAAGTAGCTCTAGAAAGACTAGGAACCAATAGGAAAACATTAAAAGGTTCAACAGCTGCAAGAAGGAGCCTTGGCTATGACATGGAACTACAGGGACATCTCAACTCTCTTAGTAAAATTTTATGCAAATCAGCTTTAATGTATGAAATGAGAAACCAAGCATAGTGGTGCATGCCTGTAATTCCAGCACTCAGGAGGCTGAAGCAGGAGGATGGTTACAATTTAAAGGTCAGCCTGGGCTACATAATGAGTTCAAGGCCATTGTGGGCTGCGTAACAAGACCCTGTCTCAAAAAAAAAATTTTGTTTTAACATATGAAATGATAAAACCTACTAAAGCATCACAAAAGAATGTCATGAAAACTAAAAAAACAGAGATAAAGATCCCATGAATCACCCTACTTCTTCCACACAACACCCAAAGACTGACAGTAGAATGACATTAACTGGCCAATGCTATGATAAGAGTCACAGTGACAAAGTCATCAGAAACAGCTTACTGTGAGTACTAGCCTGAAGTCCACAAGGAGATATGCCAATCGCTGCTGCTCAGGCCAAATACTTTTTTCTCAAAATGTCAGTTTGCAGTTCGGGGAGAATCCACTTCTATTCTACGGACTGCACTACTACACAATAGCCACAAGGGGGCACTAGCACTCTCCGCACGCAAATGGGACTCGTATTCTTCCTAATCTGACATATGGTGGGGCACTGTTCAGTCTCCCGCAGGGATTAGCAGGAATACTGTGGCTAATGAAGGCATATAAGCAGCCAAATAATATAAAACTGAAAATTTTACAAGTAACATGCAATTTGCAGTCTGTTCCTCCAAACCTCCTTTAAAAAGAACACCCCTAGGGACTCCAGTCTCCAGCCTCCTGTGCTTTTTCTCTCTCGTTTTCCTGGCCCTCTCTCTACCAGTAACTCTTGGCTACATATCTGGGCTTGCTCTCTTTACACAGCTCAAGTCCTACATTTTTAAATACTGCAATCATTTCAAACATTTCTATAAAGCAAATTCATCCTTCCTAATAGACCAACTGTCCTTCTTCTCTCAGTAATAATAAACACTAACATTATTTGGCATGTACCAGTCTTCATATGGAGTGAGTTGTTTAATACTTAAAATAACTAGGAGGTTTGCTGTCTTGTTCAAAACCACATAGCTCAAGAAATGTCAGAGCTGGAATTTGAATCCAGAGAGTCTGGCTCCAGACCCAGGCTCTGAACCACCATATTGTTGAATTGAGTATTTCTCTTTGAAGGAATATATATGTATATGTAATTATAGTCCCAGTTTCCTACAAGTAACCACGTGTTTTTATTGATGATGATACAGTTAAAGCCTGGAGATTAAAGGACTTCTGCTAAACCGTAAGGTATATGAAAAAGGACTGGGTCTCATATCTCCAGCACCTCTCAGTTCACTGCATACCTGTAGTCGATGCATAAATTTGGTTAGAATTAGCTAAAGTCACTTTCAAATCATGACTGATGGAGGAAAACAGTATAGTAATGCAGCACTGGTGGAAGAAGCTGCTATTTTGAAAATAATGAGCAGAATAATCTTATTTCAAAGTCCAAACAATATAAGAAAAAAGAAAATAATCATAAAAGTGTTTTAAATGCAAAGAAGTTCTTAAAAATCTGTATTCGAAACACAGGGTAGATACAGGGTGAAACAGGACAAAGGGAGGAGACGGGAGATGGTGAGAAGAAATTATCTGTGGGACTCATGGAAGCAGATGTCCGAGCCGTGTGCGCCCCTTGAATAGCACAGCCTACTCTACTGCTGCACAGAGAGTGGGCCTTGTATTCATAACTAAAAACCAGAACCACCACCCAAAAAGTTTAGGTCTTAAATGGTTCCTATGGACCAGGGAAGCAAGGCAATTAGGAACTTGGCCAAGTACGTTTGCCCCATTTGTACAAAGCTGAAAGCAGAATCTTTCTGATGAGCCACCTCCGATTAAAAGTATGCTTTCTCTTAATACAGGTTTTCATTTTGTGTGATAAGCCATTATTTTAATGAGTGCCAAACCACTAAATGTTAAGAATATAAATGTGATCACGGAAAATATAGGCATGTGTTCAACTTTCATGCGAGTAAAAAGGGAAGTAAAGTGCATTCTTTGGGGGAAGAGTGTTCTAACCCAGGCTGTGAATAGTCACAGGTCTCCTAACTAATATCTAGGCTGAGACATAAAAGACAGTTACAAGTTAGCTAAGGAAGTATGGAGACACTATTCCAGCCAGGGGCATACACAACGCCTGGGAGTAGAGAACATGGGACATTTCAGGGGACAGAAGGGATCACAGCATTAGCGCAGAGGTATGGAAGTCCACATTCTCACAGACAGTTGCTGAAAGTATAAATGTGTACAAATTCTACATTGAAATACGAACAGGAACAAGACCTTTCAAAGGTAGGCCTTAAAAAAATTACATTAAATAAAGGCAGACCTTTTGACCTAGCAATTTCATTTCTAGAAATATATCTTATGGAAAGATTTTGGCTACAAAGAATGCACTACAGAAAAATAAACATGTTTCCACTTATAAAATCAAAATGCTGAAAATAGCCTAACTACTCATCTATTAAGAATTTATTCAACACTTTACAATACAACCATGTATCAGAATATTTCACAATCATAACAAGTTGTGTTAAAGATTAATATTTATTGACATGAAAAAATTATCCACAGTATGACATGAAGAGCAAAAACATGATATGGTATCGTATTATGGTATGGATCCTATTATAATTACATAAGAGCAGAAAGGTCTGCTTATTTCTAGATCTATGATGGTTTTAGCTTTTTTATTTTTGCTTATCTTAATATTTCTCTCAGTGAACCCGTAGTGCTTTTTTATAAGAATAAATATTAATTTCTTATTTTTTTAAAAGAAGATTTGCCTCATTAGTAAACTCACATGAATTAAGCATTACATTAAGTTCTAGGCAAGCACATTGTGAGGGCTAAAGCAGGAGTATGGAGTCCAGGATAAATAAATAGTATATCTTACACCAGTGCCCAGAAACCTTCCTCTCAACACATACCTGGACAAATCCAAAGGGAAAGAAACGCTCTGTCTGTCCCTGGGAGCCACTGTGGAAGGTCTGGCGCCAGTCTTCAATGAGGGCAGGGAACGTGCAATTGTACAGGTCCTTGTTATAATGTATATTGGCCTCCCCTTAAAACAGCCAAATATTGTGAGATAAATTTGGAGTAGACTTCAAAAATGGCAGATGTTGCTCCCCTCCCTCTCCCCATGTCCCAGGGGGGTGGTCTCCCACTCAGGGCTCAGGGCTGGCCTGGGATTTGATCTGGCCAGTGACATAAGGAGAAGCATAAAAAGTCTCAGCTTTAGGCTTAGCTCTCTCTTGATGCACCTGTTACCTTGAGACAGCTATGTCATGACAAATGAGTGTGACACAGCTTGCTAAAGGAAGAGAGGCCACCTAAGAACCATGGAGCACACGAGTGGAGTGGAGGGAAGCCATCCTATGTCCTCCAACCACCAACCTGACAGGTCAAAAGCACATAAGAGTTCCCGGCAGAAATTAGCTGAGGCAGCCCAGAAGAAGCACTACCTTGATAACCCAAAGCAGAATGAGCTAAAGAAAATTATACAATTATTATTGTTTTAAGCCACTCATTTCAAGGATCATTTTGTTATGCAGCAAAAGCTAACTGGTACAATGGAGAAAGAGCAAACTCACCCTGGTACCATACCACACCTTTCAGAGTCATATTGTGTAGTGGATGGATCATGGCATTCCAGAGAACAGAGTGCTCACTGGGACCAGATACAGAATCATGCATAACCGATCTGAAATCAGTGAGAAGCACAGTGTCACCAGAAAGCTAGTTGAGTGATCACATCACGATTCCTATGCTGGGCATCTATCTGCTTTCATTTGGACAAACTTCTGAGGAAAAGAACACAGCTCCATTTCACTTGAAAACATGTATTAGTCTCTGAATTTCACCTCCAGGTTCTTCCCAAGATAAGAGTGTCACTCAGCCTTCTGTGAATTCACAGTGGGAGGTGTGATTTATTGTGAGTTTTTCCATACAGGCAATAAATGTATGTAGCTACTATTCAAGAGATGGACATGCAGACTGATTTAAGATTTTTGCCCTTTTTTTTTTTTTTTTTGTACTGGGGATTGAATCCAGGGCCTTCACACTGAGCTACAGCCCCATCCCTTTTTTATTTTCTATTTTGAGACAGGGTCTTGCCCAGGCTGGGCTCAAGTCTACAATCCTCCTCCTTCAGCCTCCTAGAGTGCTGGGATTACAGACCTGTGCCACAACTCCCAGTTACCTTTTTGCTTTTTTATAACCAATGCTATGATTATAGTTAAATCACTGCAATTATTTCTTTAATTTTCTCAATTATTTCCTTAAGATAAATTCCAGGAAATAAAATTGCTGAGTTAAAAAGTACATTTTTTAAAAAGCTTTAGACATGTTCCCAAATTTCTCAGTAGAACATATATATTGGAATTTATCTTCACAGCCACTGTGTATGAGAATACCCACTTCCCCATACCCTCGGTCTATCTCCCCCAACCCCCAGGTCTGGGAGACCTGGCTCCAGACCACCCACCAGCACCACGTCCTGGGTCTGATGCTCCCTCCTGCCCTACCAGAGACGACTCCTCCTCTCCAGTTATGGTCCACTCTCCCACAGGCACGCCGTTACCCAAACTGCCCCAACCGTACCAGTGTCCATCCTCCTCCCAGAGTGACTGTGACAATGCCTTGGATAGCAGGCCATATTCTGCTCATCTCTGTGTTGGCTGGTGCTAGTGTCAGGATTTTTTTTTTTTTTTTTAAGTACTGAGAACTGAACCTAGGGATTTTTTACCAACTACAATGTTACCTCGGTTCACGAATGTTTGGGAACAATTTGGTTTGCAAACACAAGTGGTTGGAAAAATTTTGGTTTGGTTTGCAAACTGTATCATGTAATGAACACAACCACAGCCATCTTTCCTGCATAAACACAAACATGGCAATCTTTTCCAGAATTATGAAACAAATTAAGTTTGTGAACCAAGGTACCACCATAGCTCTTTCATCCTGCACACATTCTTCCTGATCCAGCTTTTCCTAGGTAAGCTTGGGCTTTCATAACCAGTATACTCATATATTCTTGAGGACATGCTTAGACATTTGTTCTTCCTGTTTGACTATTTATTCCTTGGGCAACAGAGCACCATGGTTAGGAGCAAAGACACCGGACCTGATCTTTCCTAGCCATTTCTTCAGAGCTCTGAGATTTAGTGTCTTTATCCTTGGGATGATAATAGTATCTTCACTTCAAGAAGCTGTTGAGAATACTAAAAAAAAAAAACTATGATTTAGAATAGTATCTGGCATATAGAATGCTTTCCCTAAGTATTTGTGATTGCTTTTACTAAGAAAAAGAATCATAATTCCTTTTTGACCATTCTCAGATGATGGCAGTGTAATGACAATGAAAAGAACACCTTACCCATGCATAGGTAAATTCCATACATTCAATATATACCTGGACAGTCAACATATACTTAACTCCCCAAAGAAGACCATGGTGACCCTCTGTCTTATAGAATCCTCTGTTAGGCTTTTTCCCCACACATAGGACCGGGCCCTCTTACCCTTTTGTAAGGATTCCACAGGCTTTCAGTGACCTTTCTGATGACCAGGCTTCAATGGGTGTCCCACCCCAGCTGGAGGAGATCAGCCCAATGGGATACTGTAGAGTGTCATACAGGTAACGCCCAAAGAGCCAGCACACTGCTGACATGTATGTGAAGTAGCCATTGCCTAAGTTTTCTGTCCAAGAAATAGTTAAAGGAAAAGAGTCAGAGGAAAAGTACATGGATATGAACTGAAACTAACAAGGTGGGTCTATGTGAAAGCATTGGGTATGCGCCACCCCTTCTGTATTGTTCTAAGGGTTTTCAAATGCAGGCTGAGAGGCAATGAGAAGGTAACACCAAGCGGAAGCATGAAGCATCGCTTTCAAACCTTTGACGAGGAGAATCTTTTTCAAAGGAAAAGCAGTAGTTTCCTTTTATCTGTCTTCAATTTTTTCCATTGTTCAAAATGTTTATTTTCATAATGAGGAAATAGGGCTCTGAGCTAGACACAAAGGCCAGTGATAACTATCATGCTCTCAATATGAGAATAATTTACTTACACAATCCAGAACCAAAAGTCTCTAGACAGTCAAGCAGGTATCCTGCATATTCCTCATAATCTAGAAATATTAATATAACTTTCTCAGTAGGTAACTGGCACAAAGACCATCATGTCCCTACACTACCCTCCTTACCATGTTTCCTCTTTACCTGGCCAACGCATTCCCCTTATCTCATGAACAGAAAAAAAAAAAAAAACAAGTAGATATGAGATACAGAAGAAATGCTTATTTTTTTCTGGATAGTATTATACCCAATTTTACTGTTATCATGAGGATATAGACACCTGTGCGATGAGAAGAAAGCAACAGAAACCAAAACCAATTATTAAATTTTCAGCAGTCTCTTTTGTCAATATTGCCCAGTAAAAAGAAAAAATATGAGAAAATGAAAAAATGGAAACAAAGAGTTTGTTAATGGGGAGGGGAGGAGAGAAGTGAAGGGAAGGCAGGGACAAGGGGAAAAAAATGAAAACCAAGACCTGTCATGTGAAGGTACAGGATCCCAGTAATGAATGTAACTGTACTGTAGACCTAGATTGTACCAATAAACTCAATTAAAAAAAAAATATTGCCCAGTAACCAACACAGGCCAAAGCAAGCGAGTTCCATGTTAGAAGAAAGCTGAGAAAGGAGGAACATGCATGCACATATGGCTGGCAGGATCAGTTCATGCCAATACTTTTGAAAGACCTGTTATGTATGAGTCACTGGTTTGGTAATATGAAAGACTCAAACTCAATGCTGTACAATTCCAGCACGCTAAGAATTGATAGTACCCGAGTGGATATTCAGATAAATTAAAATATATTTAGAAACTACTACGTGCCAAGAAGTGCCAGATGATTGAGATACAACATTGGAAGAGATACAGGAAAACTGAGCCTGACCCCATTAGGTCCTGTAGTTTATGGAATAATTATTATCTATAAAATGGATGGCAAAATATGGTAAGTGCCTCAAGAGATACAAAAAGTAAGAGGGAATTCTAGCACAAAGAAAAAATCAAATTCAAGGCTAATTATAATAAACATCATAATAAATACTGACCCTGTGTTTCCATAGTCCCCTATGCAGAGCTGTGATGTTGTACCTCACTATAATAACATATTTAATGTTTCCCTTACCACTATACTATAAGCTACCTAAAGGCAGGGACTTCATCTTACTCATATCTGTATCTCCAATGTCTAGGATGTAACAGAGTCAGTAAACGTGGGTTGCACATAAAATAGGAAACATTCTGAAAGTATTTGGCTGGAGCAGAGACTGAAAAGGGAGATTAGTGGAAGGCAAGACTGGAGTGAAGGTTGGATCATCTGGGTGTCCTCCACATCAGAGAACCCTTGCTACATACAGACAGAAAAAGAGGCAGGAGAGCATATAAACATGGAAGAGACTTGTTCTACTACAATGTTTCCCCCAGATCTGTGTTGCCTCTTTCAGTTTATTACAGAAATGTCCCCTTTCTCAGTAGGGACTTCCCTGGCCACTTTAAATTGCAAATGCTACCCCACTGCAATCCAACACCCCCTACTATCTCCCTCCTGATGAATTCCACTTATTCACTTTTGACTCAGTATATATCACCATCTACTGTACCAATAGCATCCAAATTTACTTGGTTTCTGAGATCAGATATTAAAAAGGAAGTCTCATAGCAAGGTAATTTACATTGTCCAGATCCAACTGATTCCTGAGCTTTAAATAATATGTGATAAGAGTTCTTAGAGCAAAGGATTCAGCCAAAAATTTACTTGAATCCATTTAGTTGTGGATCTCTTATAGGAAAAATTCAGATACAGTGAGACGAGATAGCATCAGGCACTTGGCATGTACTTTACTAATTCCTCATTTTCTGTACTCCGTCACACTGCACCATAAGCACCGTGCAGTTGGGTATTCCTATGTTATTCACTGCTACAGCCCCAGCACTTACAACAGTACCCAGCATGTAGCAGGCACTCAGATATTTGTTGAATGCCTTAAAATTTGAAAATGCAGGAGCAACTAGGCTCACAGTCACCAAGGAAAAGCACTAGAAAGAATACAGGGGCCTCAGCTGAAGGGAGGGATTGAAGAAGCCAAGAACGGGGAGAGAGATAGGAGAGAAGAACTGAGAAAGGAAGCACCTCATGACCTAGAAGGAACCCAGTTTCTGAAAGGGGTGGTCCCCCAGGTCAAATGTCTCAGAGGTCCCTAGAGTTTATACTAAGACGAGTAATAACCCTGACACAGACAAATTGTTCAAGTGGAAGCAGAAGCCAGATTACAAAGAACTTAAGAGTGCACCCAGGGCAAGGGAATGAAAAGGATAAAGACAAAACATGTTCTAGAAAGGTATAACAAAGCAAAGTAGAGATGAAGCTTTATGAGAAGGGCAATTGTTATATTTGGCTTTGTCTTGACTCTTTAGAGCAGGGACTGTGCGTCTGTATTCATCACTGCTGTGTCCTTGGGGGCTAGCACCAGAGTCTAACGTGAAGGAAGCATGAGATAAAGATTCCATGCTGAATGGACAGGGGAAAAGAACAGAACCTAATGGATAATATAAAGAAAGCCTAGAGGAGATAAAGGCTGGCATCAGAATTAGCTCTAAAAGGACACTTGTCAGTGTCTTCAGGCACAGAAATGAGGAAAGTGAAGAGAAGAACACAGAGGGGTCAAGGCAGTGGAGACAGAGTCTAGAATAGCTCATGCTGAATAGCCTCAATTTTCATTAAAACTGAAGGAAGAGTCATTTCCTCATCACAAGGGCAAGATTCATTGGGAGAGTCTTGGAAAAAAACATAGGGACCATCAGTAATGGAACAATGAGTCAAGAAAAGAATAAAAAGACAGTTCAGTAATAATAAGGAGACTGATAAGAACCAAATCCAGTTTTTTGTTTTTTTGTTTGTTTGCTTTGTTTTGTTTTTTGGTATCAGGGATCGAACTCAGGTCCTTGTGCTTGCGAAGCAGGCGGCAGAACCACTGAGCTAAATCCCCAACCCCCAAATCCAGTTTTACCGAGTCCACTTAGGGCATTAGGCTATCACCAAGACATGACATGTTGAGGCACTCACATACCTGCAGTGGGCTTTGACCACCGCAAATCAACTGCGTCAAGATCCTCCAGCTCCTCCTCTGCCTCAGTGAGGGAGACAGAGAGGATGCGGACAGACTGGTAGGCAGCAGTGTCGGACAGTTCCTTTGTAGCATTAAATATCTAGAAGAGAATTTGAAATGTCATTTAACCTAGTGGGTGGTGAACAGGCCTGCCAGTCTTAGTAAACACTTCTAACCCAATGAGCTCCTTCTGAGCCTTCAATAGGCCGAGAGTATATGAGTAACAACCAAAACTTGTAATGGCCTGGACTGAATCATCTAGATTCACTTTGACCACAATGAAGCATATTCCCAAAGAGGGCTCAGATATAATGAAGCCTATGACCTTAGGCAGATGAAAAGTGTACAGTGGTTTAAGCTGAAGAATGCTATGACTTAGACCACTGTGCTATCTTGAAACAAAAATACTTCTACTTTGAAAAAGTATCTGATTATGCAAGTCTAGTGCAATTAACTTCTTTTTACAAAATTGTTACTTAGAAATGAACCAACAGGGAGTCATAAAGTCCATGGGGAGATAGATTTATGTAATCCATACCACATGAGAAGTATATTCAAAAGAAACAGACCTGAGAAGTGATGGTTGAAATATACATACTGGAATCACTCTCACAATGCTTAGATTCTCATCTGGGACCTGGTAAGCACCACAGAAAACATGGGAGGCATGAAAGATAGTGTTCAGGATTACAGCTCAGAACAGTCTCAAACAAACAAAGAAGAGGATCTTTCCAAAGACACATCATTTTATGAACCCTCCCCAGTTGCCAAGAGTGGCAGGAGTGGGTTAGGATTTTTCTGGACAAGAATGTGTGCACTGCCTTGAGTAGTCTATACATTAGTCTAATTAAGCCTCACTCTTCTATGAGGTTAGGCACAAGTGCTTTCTTTTAATCCTGATCTTTTAGCTGTGTTTTTCTTTTGTGTTGAAGAGAACAGACTGGCAATGTCTTAGTTTGCTCTGTGTGTGCACGCGTGCATGCAAGCGCGCACACACACACACACACACACTTCCTCTTGAGTCCTCCCTATTCCCGAGCTAGTCCAGCTTCTCCAAAAACAAAGGGCTAAGAGAAGCATCAGGAAGCCCAGTAGCCATCCACCTCAGGGAATAGGTACTGCAGCTGAGTCTGGGCCACCACAGCAAGAGGCACAGGAGGCTGGGATACTTTCCATTGGCCACTAGCCACCAAGTGTGCAGCTGGCTCGCTTTACCTCCTACCCACCACAGAGAATACAGCTGGCCCTCCAGCCCACATGGAGGAGCATGATGGAGCATCCAGGGTGCCCCCACAGAGCATTTCATTGAAATATGCTGCCCCTTGAATAGCCTTCTGAATTGCCACAGAGCCTGCTGTGGTCAATGAGATGGACAGATGCAAATGAAATGGCTCTTTTGGTCACAATGGGAGCTACAGCCTGAAATGCCTGCCTCCTGGGTAGCAGCAGTTCTGGGCTGTAAAGGTTACTGGTCTTCCAGCTTTCAGAACACAGATTATACATGGTATCAGGAAAACTCCATAGGAAATCTAGACCTTTTCCTTCAGGGTCCTGCCTGGAATGTTTAATATAAAATAAACATTGAAGAGTAAGAACAGGCTAATGCACTCACAGTATATTCTGGCAGGGAAATTATTTTTCAGCAGTAAGTACCTGTAAAAAGTCGCCTCCCTTGGAATTCAGTTCTGCACTAAGCAAAAGGATCGTGTGTTGCTTCCATGGAAACAGTGGATGAAACTGCTTCATTCCCACCCACACAAGCTTCCGCACTGGCTGGGAACTCAAGTGCCTCATGGCAATGTGATACCAGCTTGGAGAGGCAGTCGGGGAGAACATGCCACTTGTCTTTTAGACCGGTTGCTAACTCTGCAGAGTATTGCCAGGGCAATAGAGTCAGGGTGGTTGGCATTCTCCTGTACTGTTACCAACACATGGAACTGGATCCAAAAACTGGCAAGAAAACTTCCATTTTCAAACTCACATTTGTGTATTATTTCAAGCCAGAACTTGAAAGTATGAGAAACTGTTAACAAAAATGGGGGTGGGGAAAATTCCTGCTGTACCTGATGACAATTACTTGTGAAATTGGTATCCATTCCCAGAATCACTAGGTCTTTTTGATGGAAGCATTTCCTCAGGGATATTGGCAGCAAATTTAGGAATAAAGTGATTTCGGGAAGATTTTCATTTAAATGACACTTGGTGTCCCTGCTGATGAAAGGGGAAGCCTTACTCCATCTGCTGAGATCAGATTTCATCTCATCAAACACCTCAGTGTAATTATTTTTCTACCAACTATTTAAATGAGGATGTAAATGAATACCAAGGTATTTGAAGTCATTAACGCTGCTGAGGCTGAGGGACAGCACTGCTGCCTCTCAAGGGACCAGACCATTCACCATCAAAGCAGCTGCTCACTGGTGTTCATTTTGTAACCTTTATACAACATTCTTGAATTAATGAAGATGCATCAAGAATCTATTTCCTCAGATAATCTTGGTATGGGGACTGTATGGGGGCACAAGGCATGTGTGTAAGTGTTCATGTGAATGCGTGTGTGCACGCTTATGCACAAATGTGGTGAAAGACACAGAGAAACTTAAATATTGACTTAAAGAATTTTGAGACTCTGAAAATTATTTTACCTTCTACTACAGTATAGCAGCATTCTTAAGGTTGAGGTAATAGCTATAAATAAGCTAACCAGCATAACTCCTATGAATCTCTTTAGAGGGATGTGGTATCAGGCCTTCGCTTCTGGATTTTAATTTCTGTACTTGGAAAGTAAGAATGTAGAGAGTGACAAAATATTGAAAAATGGGTTTCCTGTCTGACATTGGCCATCTTTTTCTGAACCTACCTAGAAATAGCCAAGTCTATAGACCTACCCTGACTTAGGAGGAGACAGATGAACATTTAGATTTTTCTCCATTTATAAACATCTCACTCAGTGTTATAAATAACATTCAATTTTAAAATTCCACTTTACCCTAACAACAAGATGGGCATACAATCTGCCATTTCCTTCTTTGAATGTGAAGAGTGGTAGATTATAGTGAGAATCTTACCTCCACATGGAGGGAGGGAAGGGAAAAAAAAACACTTGGTGGGGGGGAGCAGGGCACACATGCAAGTGTGTATTGGGAGCCTGTAGAGAGAAAGAAGCAAAAGAAATAAGAGGGGGTGTCATGAAGTACATACTTCTGGTCAAAAAATAAGACTTTACAGGCTGTTAAGAGACTAAAAAACATGGCTGAGGATACCATTAGCACCTAAAATGCTATCTTGCAAGCTAAGTGCATGGTTTAAAACAAAAAAATTAAAAATTAACACTTAGATGTTTCAAATGGAATCTGCTTTTCTGTTCCCTTACATTTCAGAGCTCATAGTTCCAACTCAATACAGAAAATGCCTAGGAGTAGATTCTAGACGGAAAGAATGTGTTTACTCTTAACAATCACGATCTCATTTAGCTTGACAGAAAATGGGATGGGCTCCCTTGGCATAGACTGCTATTGAGAAAATGACTATATAGATACAAACAGATCTGGGCCATGATTTTCTATGCAAACATGGAAGTGTAATTAAAGCATTAAGAAAAGTACTGTTTTCTAAAATGAATTAACAACAATTCTACTTCTACACAAAACCATGTTTTCCATCAAGAGATAAAAGTTCAATTTTGCATCCAGTTAGGCTAAAAGAGTCCAAAGTTCAGTTTAATAAGCATTTTAATTTAAAAGCTTCCATATATGTAAGAAAGGCAGGAAGTAACAGTAAATAGTATATTGGTTAGGAAGATACAAATACAAGAATTTCAAGGCTGAATTAGAAAACTAGAGATGAAATTAAAATAGATGTGTCCACAGTGAGATTTTCAGTAGCATTATTTGGTAATAATTTTTAAAAAGAAGGAACTATAAGGAAAAGAAGCTCTAGAAGTAAAGAAAGAAATCATAAATTATGTGAAAGTACTTTATTCTACAAATTGTTTAAAAGAATTGAATTGAGATCATAGTCTATATGCACAGATTCTTAGACTTCATATATTTCTTATAGATGAAGAAAAACAAGAAAATAAAACTCAACTGGAAAATAAATTCAGTTTTATAAAAGAACTAGAGAAAACAGTAAGCTTCCAAGTTATTAACCTTTAAAGAAACAAATCAAAGTATATAAACACATTTGTGCGGATCGATAACTGTCAATTTAAACTAACCCCT